TATTTAAAAGCGAAGGAAAGCGAGGAAAAGAAAGAAAATTCAAACGAACAATTGCTTTACGCCGAATTGCCGCTATTTGAAAGTGAAAGTAAAATGCGCACGCCGCTTTTACAAGCTATTTAAAAGCGAAGTAAAGCGAGGAAAAGAGGGAACGCCCCGCCCCCACGGTGATACCAGTATTATCGATGTTGTCACACGTCAATTAACCAGTGGGAAAATTTCCTCACCGTCACAACCCTAGCTTCACATCTGAACAGGATGATGATGTCATTGTGAATATTCATAGAACCTCAAAGCAGTTAATAACGGTTATGAAGGTAACTAGACTGATGAATAACCAGAAAAGTATTTAATAAAATATTACACTTAGTCAATTCTAAATATATAGAGAGACAGACAAAATAAAACATGGCTTTTATTTCCACATATTTTTGCAATAAAAATATGCATTTACACCATTTGTTGCTAACACACAAGGGAATTTAGAAACACTGACTACGGAGAGGATAATATGCATCACCATGAAAAAAAGAAAGAAGATACATATTAAATAAAATATTTAAAAAATCACTGGATTTAGGCTGACATGTTAGGATAAAACCTAAGTAACACAGTAAAAGGTAATGTTAGCTTTGCATTGATAAAGTCACTGTTTACATATGCACATTAATTGTCTCAAGCCTATTCTCTCTAAGCATCAAACTAATATCATTGTCCTTCACTGCAGGTGATCCAGCACTGAATGCTCTTATCAGCAATCTGTCACAAGAATCAAGTCCAGCAAACTGGGTGTTGCAACTGGTGCATGCATAGAAATAAAAACAATATGCATGTCCAAAAAGAATCCGATAACGAATACAGTGGCGTTTATATGCAACTTATAACTGTATGAATTAAAAAACTGCAAGATCTCTGACCCTCATTCTGCTGTAAGCTACAATGCTACAGTAATTGCCCCCCCCCCATCCCCCTCCATGTTTTAATGAAACGCTATACGGCAAACACTGCGCTCGCGCTACTTGTATTCTTACTGCTTCCTACGAAACACAGTCACGTAAAACAAGCGCACTCTGGTGCACTTGAATACTGCTGTGAAAAACGTCACTTCGGCACATGCACTCACCTCTTCGCTCCCACTCGAGCTGTATCCAGCCTCTCCCAGGCTCTTGTAGCTCGCCTCAAGCCCGAGAAGGCGCAAGTGAGACTGGTCCTCGTTCGGCGCGAGCACCAGGCAGGTGGGCCTCGGGCCTCCGTTGGAGGAGATCTCGTCTAGATCTGTCCCAGAGCGGCCGAGCTGCCATCGCTTCTCCGAACGCAAACGGCTCCGCGACAACCAAGGCCGACCGGGGAAGCGACCCCGCGCCGCGCCCACGCCGCCTGCGCCCACAATGGCAGCCGCGGTTGCTGATCCGCATCCCGCTGCCGCCATCATCGCATTAACAACAACACCGATAGAGAGAAACTCAGGCTGCGAGAAGAGGGAAAGCGCTGAATGGGAGGGGGGGGGTGGACGCCCGGTGCACTATGGGACGTGTAGGC